CCTCAAGGGGACTACTCACTCCAAATCCAGAAAATGCACGTTCCCTCCAGCGTCGTTCAAGCCCACTCCGTGAGCCGAACTCACGTCCTCGGCCAAGGACTTCATGGTATCCAAGAGCCGCTCGGCCGCCTGTGAAGCAAGCGCTGAATCTGTTTCTGTCGACAGATCCCAGTTCCTTTCGAAATTCCAAATCCTGAAGGTCCAACGGAATGACGAAAGGAGCTGCATCAAACAGCAGCCAAGGGCCGGATTTGAAGAACCAGGGCACTTCCTTCTTTGAAGAATACAGTAAAAATAAAAGCATGTATATATAATGGAGAGAAAGAGAAAGAGAGAGAGAGAGAGGTATATATTGTATATACAGTATACATTGACGGTGGTCCTGTTCGTCAACTTCCGCAACCTCATCTGCAGCCTCGTCCTGGTCATCCAACCAAAACACAAAAAGATCAAGGAAGAACATCGACAGTCTGTTCCATTGGAAATCTGAAGGGTCTCAGAAGAAGTGTATCAAGACTCATCAAGACTCATGTCGAAACCACCACAGTGAGACAGCTCGAGTCTTCCTCACACGAACAATTCCGCAGGCCGCCGCCGCCGCCCAGGCCCCTTCAAGTGAGGTCTCTTCCAGTCTCCTCCAGCTCGAGGTCATCTTCTGGAGCCTCGAAGACAGCACCACGGGTCGACAAGTGGGAAATCACTTGGAAACCTTCTTTAAGCCTTTTTTCCGATGCGCATCGAAAAGCATCACGTTGGAGTCCCGCTCCTGGAGGACATCCTTCTAATCTGCCAGCGGTAAGACAAAGAACAGTGGCAACAAATTACCAACCTCTTGATTTTAAGCCCCGGAGGGGGCTTAGGCCGTAGCTAGTATGAGGTAGCTAGTAGCTGCAAGAACGCTACTACCTTGGACGCAGGATAGCTCACGCTTTTTCAAGGAAGCTCCCCCTGCCCCCGAAAGGTGGCTGTCCCTGTTCCGGTGCCCTGTTCGACCCCTTTCTGGGGAGTACTAAGATCACGAAAATCGCATTTTCAAGCGCTTTTTCGTGATGCCATCTATACGGTTTTTTCTATAAAGAAATGCTTCTGGTGCTCCAGGTCTTTGTGCAGCAAACCAAACAGGCTAAGAAATCCGGCTTCTGCATCCTTTGCGCACAAAATAGTGGCAACTGAGTAAAAAAGTATGCCATCTCATGCGGTGTTTTGGCAACAACAATCTTTTCTGAAAACCCCAAACTCCACCAGCTAGGTGCCTCTTGTTCCTTCTGCGACTTCGCCTTCTTCCTCACGCAGCGTAAGGAATAGGGTGAAGATCTGCGTAGGGCATGTGGCGCTGTAGTTTTAATTTCAGATCATAGGATCGTGATAGGAATCTCGCAAGAGAGGGAGAGCAACAAAATCTCCATCAAGCATATAAATAGGTTTGAAAGGATACCAACTACCCGATTTCAAGACTGAGATCTAGGTTGGGAAGTTTGCTGGATATGGGGGTTCCTGAGAGTTGTATTTTTGCGGAACCAAAAAAATGCTGATACGTGTTTCCTTTGCACGTAGCAACGCGTTTGAATCCAGGGACTGTATTTCATCCATGTGCGTGACGCAGAGTTGAGAAACGGAGACTCTTTAACTTAACTTCTGTGGTTCACCAAACGGAAATTATAAACTAAAGAAGGACGTAGCAGACGTAGCAAGTAAAAGTAAGATCCTACTGAAAGGACTGTAAATAGGCCAGGTGCCGAGAGTCTCTTTTGCCTTTTTGGCCAGTGTTTTTCATTCGGTGTTTTGCTTGTTTTTAGCGAGGTATGCTACTAGTAATAGTTCGCTCCTAGCTAGGATGCAGGATGGCGGGGGCAGCTTCCTTGAAGAAAAGCTTGCACTAGCGATTTGGTTGGCTTTCAACTGAACTGGCCGACGGCCAACAGTTGGTTCTGAGGGACCTTGGAAAACAGTGAAAACCGAGGTTCTTTTTTCGAGGTCCTCTTCCGCGCTGCAACCTTCGGTGGCCTCGGAAGCGGGATGTTCTGCCGGATCACGAATGCAAATGGATTCATGTACAGCCGGGCATTGTGAGGTGTTTGTGGTTCTCTTACTTCACAAAACGCTACTAGTAACAAGTGCAACGCTACTAGTAACTAGAAGCTACTAGTAACAAGGGCATTACTACTAGTAACTAGCAAATAATCACAAGAATATGGCGGTCGCCAAAGGCTCACTGTCAACGCATTCCACAACGAGTTTGAAGTGATTCGTTACTGTGGAGGAGCTGTCTACATCTTTCCGGAGTTCACAGGGCATCCTTTGGACATTTCCTTGTATAAAGCTATTAGATTGAAGGTCATCGCTATTAGGTCCCGATTTTGAGACCCAAAGGGAAGGACCCGACGGGCCCGAAGGTTGAGATCCAATCGTTCAGGGTCGTCAACTGGGATCCACTTGGCTCCACCGCACCATTGCCAATTGGTGGCTGGTGGGGTGAACTGACTTTTACTGAAGAGGACCCATGTCCCTCTACACCAAAACTCCCAGAAAATAGGACCACTGTACTTTGCTCACATAGGATTTCTGACTGGAAAAAGATTGTGCAAACTCAAGTCCTCAATGGCACAACCCCTCGAGAACCAGAATGGGATTCAAAGGGCTTTGGACTAAGCCGTGAATTCACAAAGCCTCCGGGCTGAACAACGCTGTCAATGAAGTCACTCAACAACAAGCCTGCCCACCCGCCAGCATTCCATTCTTCAGCGTGCGTGCAAGGAAACAAGGAAAAACCCGATGTGTAGTCGTGTCTTGTAGTCTCCCACAAACAAAGGTAGAATCTCGAAAAATAAGACTAACAAATTGGCCAAGCTCTACTAGCTGCTACTGGAAGAATGCTAGCCCAAAATCAGCTGTTCACCCACAGAACTGAATGTCCAAAGACTTTTGGGGAGTGCAGTGGCAGGCCGCCTGGGTTTGGGATTCGCAAACACCTCGTCCGATTGCTGGAACGTTCCCCTGGCGGATAAACTATGCTCCTTTCTGGGGTCTGCTAAAGGTGCACTACTGGCCGCAGTTGGCTCAGGTTTATGCTGGAAAGCATGCGGGCGTCGCAGCAAAGAAAACTAATGATAAGTGAAAATTAAGGATAAACAGAAAATAGAAGGTACGCCAACAATGTTAAAGAAGTATATACTTTGCTGAAAACATTGCCAAACAAGTGAAATCAAGAACCTCGGCTCTTCGCTCTCGTCTAGTTAAAGGCTTGACCAGGTTAGCCCAAAGGTTCTTTTATAAAAAGGGCATACCAGGTGGAATCATTCAGAGGAGACACCAGGTTCAACATGTGTTTTTTTTTGTGGAATTCCCCGTGGTTTGATGACAGAAACCATAAGTGAAGCGGTCCGTGCCAGACTCTCGTGTGAAAGTCCGAGCGCCGTGCAGCGCCTGGGTTCAGTTCTTCATCTCCTGAAGCGCAAAAACTGCGATCTCTGGACACGCACTGATCGGTCTGATCTGATTCGTAGTAGTGGTTTAGACCCTCGTCAGTAGGCACGGGATGTACTGCAGGCATCGGATGGCACAATCAGTTCCAACCGGGTGATTTTGGAAAGCCATAGATGTGCTTCAGAATTCGGAACAAACCTAAACCACGACTCAGTAGGAGACCTCCAAGTGGAAAAATAGAACCAACATGAAACACTCCACCAGCTCCGCCCTTCATCTCCGCTCGTCTGAGGATTCCAACTGTCAGCTTCGACCTGGCCAGACACCAGTAGTTTCTTGTTCCCAGTAGCGTCCTTGCTCCTAGTAGCGATGCCAAAAGCCCCTAATAGCTTCTTGTTCCTAGTGCGCCCATTTTTGCAATCATCACTATATAATCCGTGGACAGGTTCAGAGTGACTCTCTCCTTTCGTTTGACCATAACTCTCTCCTTCAAGGAAGAATTGGAGAGGGATGTTTGTGACCTGTCCGTCGCTACGATAGAACCCAATCGATCCGATGTTTTTTCCCACATCCCGCCAGCCTTGCGCTTGAGTTTCTTTTTCTTCGGTCGTTCCATGAGCAAAACACCACTTATTTGGAGACCTGTGGGGTGCAATGCATCGACGCATCTGAATGAATTTGCGGTGTTCGGGCTGCGCCAGCTTTTCAAGACCACATCTTAAAGAGACAGCATGGTGATTTCGTTTTGTGATGGACGTGCATCTGCTGGATCTTGGGCCCCAAGATTACTGGGAGAACAAGGCTATCAGACTATCAGCACACGATCCGCCGAGAGAATAGAAGTCTTTATGTCAACGTACAATAAAATATCCGCCACCTGGGACAAACATATCCCAAAGAAAGGCAACAAACCCGATTTCCATATGCACACACCTCAACACTGAACCAATCTGACCAAACCAGCAAGCCAAACAAATCAATCAAGCCAAGCCAAAAGAACCAACGGCGCCGGGAACATGAGAGAACCAATCTTAACACAATTTGGTCTCATTCGCTTACTACGAATGCGCGCTTTGTCTCTTTTGAAGGGATGGGGTCAGGTGCCCCTTTGTCAGGCCCTGGGTCTGGCAGTCAGGTAGCGTTTCTTCTTGGCCACCATGAAAACCAGGTCGTACTCAACAATCCGCAATTGATTGTGACCAATCCAGTCTTGTGCAGGTTGAATTCAATGAGTCCACCTCGGCTCCTCTCGGCTGCAAATCTTAGGGCGCCCTTGCGCCATGCGAAGCACGGCAACCCCATGGATCTAGCCTAAAGAAGGCTTTTTGTTCCAGCGCGGCAAAGGTTGCATCATCGTGGCGGCATTGCGCGTTTTTCTTTGCATTGAGTTGCTTGACAGTTGCAGTGCACTGTGTCTTGGCGTGAGTTGGTCGTGCATCGGGATTTGAGTCCCATTCCATCCAGAACCTACATCATTTGAAGCTGCCTGCATTGGTAGCGGAGCTACGGCTCCAGCTGCCTTTGGCATTGAGCTCCAGTACCTGAATAATTACCCTGCGTGACTTCGTGGTGGCAATATGATGTCCAAGGATGGAACTGACTCGAAGATCCCGAGTTGGGATGGCTCCAGTCGAACTTGGCGTAGATACCTCAAAGAGGTCTCCTGGTTTGCTGGTGGCACTAAGCCAGCACAGAGGCAGTACTTGGCTCTGACACGATCAGTCGTCTGGGTGGCTCAGCTAGGTTGTTGGCCATGAGTTGGTCACAGAAGGACTTTGTAGGCCCTGATGGTGTGAAAGTGTTGCTACAACGTCTTTCGGCAAGTCCGTTGGTCAGGAAGTCGTTGCCTAATGCTGCAGCAATCATGTCGGAGTACTTCTCCTTCAAGCGTCGACCACAAGAACCCATCGCTCAGTTTTTGGCTCGTGAAAGCTTAGGATTTGAAGAGTTTGCAGAAGCACTGGCTCAGTTGAAAGAAGAGAAAGAAGGTCATGATCCTGCGCTTCGCAACTTTGACCTCCCCGACATGTCACCTCATCCTGATGAGTCTGACCATGACGGTCGCCTGTGGAGACAGTCTGATCGCTATCAATGGCGGCATTGGGAACCGCCGGATGGCTCAGACGGCGGTCATCGCGCTCCTGAGCGCGAGGATGGCTATGCTGGTGTTCCTCAGTCTGACCCTGGAGAAGCTAGTCCTCCCAGAGCACAAGCCCCAGTAACCTGACCGGGTTCACCAGTGTGGGAAGAACCATCCCAGCAGCTATAGAGTTGGCGCCACAGGTATTTCTGATTTGGGTTTTACTCAGCGTGCACAAGTTGTTAGGTATTCTTCACCTCTTGGGCCTCAAGACTCCTTCATGATGCAGGTCCTCCAAGGCTGGAGATTGCTTGCGGCGGCTTCCCTCACTCAAGAGCAGTGGCGTGACATCCTGGCCACGACAGGAAACAAGCTGGAATACGAAAAGATCGCTGATGCTCTGACTACTCTGTGGGATGAACAGTTGATGGGCTATCGACAGAGTCACCAGACCTCTCAGCGATCCTTCAGCAACCACTGGATTGAGCAGGCAGTGGACAGTGGACCCATGGCACAACCAGTATGCAGTTTGAGATGATGAATGGTACCATGATGACGGTTCCCACTGGTCAACCTGGCCTTCAGAAGCAATGGCAGCTTGTGCCCGGCTCTCATGAGGCAGACGATGCAGAGCTTCAGGACATGCTGGAACAGGAAAAGGCTGCAGAAGCCATGGCCATGGAAGCTCGCCGAACCTGGTCACAGGCTCAGAAAGCCACGGCCGCCCCCCCAACGAGATCGTGGCTTCGGACAGCACTCTAGCTCGTCCAACAGTGGCTGTTTCGTTTGTGGTGGACCACATCTTGCTAAGGACTGTCCTGATAAGTCAGCACCGCGCAAGGGCTCCGGGAAGTTCTTGTCTCCAGCTGAATTGGACCAGTTCCTTTGCCTGAAAGGAAAAGGAAAGTCGCTTGGCAAGTCTAAGGGCAAAGCCAGGAATGCTTATGTGTCTTGGCAAGATGAGTGGCCAATCCCGCAAGCTCCTTTTGGTTATGACCAGTTCACCATGTTCAGGGCAAGGGCAAAGGCAAGTCACCGGGAAAACCCTCCGTCAATGCATATAGCATGCTGGATTGCACCTTTTTGGAGTTTCATGCAGTTCTGTTTGATGAGTGTGGTTTTTCTGTTTTTGAGAACAAACCGGATGAACTCTCCTTCATGCCTCTTGAGCTCTCCCAACCGGCTTTGGCATGCTGGATTGCGGCGCCACAGCGAGCGCTGGACCAGAGACATCTGTGAAAAGGCTGGTGTCCCTCTTGCGGCAAGCAGACCCCGCAGTGAAGGTTGCCATTGATCCCACCAAGAGGCCTTACTTTCGATATGGTAGTGGCAAATGGGGGCAAGCCTTGAGAGTTCTCATGCTGGTTCTCCTAGTTTTTCTATGTATGCTTTGCCGGACCCTCCTGAAGCGCAACAACACTGGTTTTCTGAAACTATGTTGGTCCCTATCCTCATTGGCATGGACTTCATGAGTAAGGTTGGTTTGATTTTGGACTTTGCTGACGGTCATGCGGTTTTCGCCAACACCAAAGACCCCTCCGCTTTCTTTTTGCAGAAGAATATGAAGGGACACTACATGATTGACATCATCCAGTACATGACTGGCACTTCTGCTTTGGAAGCGGCGTCTCAGGTCCAAAGATCTCCAGAAGCCTCGCCAAAAGCAGCTTATGCAGCTCAGGCGGCTACCCAGAGAACCAGTGGGGTGAAACGGAGTGGTTTGAGCTGGCAACACTTGAAAGCACACCAAAACATTTTCACGAGAGTCATGACCATGCATCTCGTACGGCATCCTCGTTTTTTTTGGAGCTTTGTTTCAAGGCGTCAGTCCTTGCAACACGCCTCTGTTTTGGATGTTTCAGCCTCACCGAGTGCTCAAGATCCTTCTCGATCGCTCATCAGCTCGGATGGCATCTCCAAATCCTCGTGCCAAGGGAGTCAAGTCCAAGTCTCTGACTGCGCCTCCCTTCGACTACGAGAAAGAGACCGGAGTGAGCAAGGACGATCCGCGCAGCGAGAAGACTCAATGGCCCTGCTACGGCAAGCACATCGAGAGCCCTCAGAGCTCCAACGGATTCGCCGGATGGAAGTCATGTGTGGTGTGCGGAATGAGGGTGAGCTATGTGCCTCGACAGGGGTACCATGGGAAGTCGGCAGCTCAGGTGAACCCCGTCATTGTCAAGAAGGCCCTGGAGAAGCTTCAAGCCGACCTCCCGACCGGCCGCTGACCGGACCAGACCTTGGTGGACCTCACCATGAAGATGTTCGATCAAAGGACTCCAGACTCAGCTGTCCAAGGCCGAGCTCCAGCAGAAGAGCTTCCAAGAGCTGTACCATTCCCTGATTGCTCAGGCGCCGATCTCCACGACGACGCCTCAGGCCACCGAGGCCGAACTGCTGCTGGCTCTCATGACAACAGCCGAGCGGGAACATCTTCGATCCCGTGCCCTTCAGGCCCAGCAGACTCCTGTGGATTTGGACGGCGACTCGGAAGTGGAGCTGATCCCATCGGGCATCATCTCAGCGACGACCAGTCCAGCCCGCTCCTCATGAAGGACGTGAACAAGCAGGTTCGCTTTGAGCCTGATGCGCCTATGACGGATCCTGTGGAGGAGGATCCACCTGTCCCTTTGAAGACAGACATGCATGACAAGAAAAAAACAAAACCAAGAAAAAGAATTCAAAGCGCACTTCTTCCTCTGAGGATGAGGAGGGCAACGTTCCCATCACCCTGGAGGACACCTTTGCAGTGAAAGCCAAAACTAAAAAGAATTCAGTTGATGACCGTGAAGGCCATGATTCAAGCCGCAACTGCTCTCCTCTTGTCATCGGCTCACGTTGAACTACGAACTCTTCTCCGAGGAGACCATGTTGACGTTTGGGAACTCTTTTGTGGACCGACCAGTTGGCTCACAGCCGCCTGTGAGCAAGAAGGTCTCAAGTGTCAGCGCATCAATCTTCATCAAGGCTGTGACGTCTACAAGCCGGCGACCTATGAGCTCCTCAAGACCAAGTACCTGAAGGAGCGACCCCGGCGACTATGGATTTCCACTAGATGCACCTACTGGTGTTCATGGACCAGTTTGAACTACCAAGGCATTGAACGGCAAGCAGAGCTCGCCAAACACCGACGTCGAGAAAGAGCTATGTTCAAGCTTTTGATCCCCTTCATCCTTGACATTGTCTCCAATGACCCGGAGGTGGATGTCTTCTGGGAATGGCCCACTCGCTGCTATGGGTGGAATGAGCACTGGCTTCAAGTCCTGGAGAATGAGCTTTGGAAGTTAGACCGCAGTTGGCACTCCTGCAGAATTGATGGCTGCAGGTATGGCTTGCTTTCCAGCCATGGTATGGCTTTGAGAAAAGCTTGGACCGTGAAGACCACCTCAGGTCACTTCTTTTCCCAATACCGGTGCAAAACCTGTGTTGAACTATATCCTGACCGTTGGCTCCATCGACTTTCTGATCCTCAACCACAAGAACTGAGCATGGCTGAGATCTCAGCCCAATTGCTCTGTCCTCAAGAGATTGAAGATGACTATGAGCAGACGTCGCATGAGCCTCAACCAACGGCCAAAAAACTTGAAACCTGGCGCCATCAACTCCTCAAGTACCACAACACGGCTGGACATCCGAACTCCTACAATCTGGCTCGTATTGTCAAGGAAGCTGGACGTCCCGCTTGGCAAGCTCGAGCTGCTTTGGAGTTGACGTGTGATGATTGCCAGGCGCTGAAGCTTGGTGGCTCGTCCAGTGCCAAAATTCCTCCAGCTTCTGTCAGACCTCTGCCAAATGCCTGGCAGGTTGTTGGCATGGACACTTGCGAGTGGTCACCTCCAAACCACCCTCACAAGTACAAGGTGCTCTTGATGATGGATTTGGCAACAAAATTCAAGACTGCCCATGTCCTTCTGAAGTATGGTGCTTATGAAATGAAAGCTGAAAGCGCTCAAATGGTTGTGGATGCTGTCTGCAAATGTTGGCTTGCTGACAAGCCAAAGATGGAGATCCCCATCCCGGACAGTGCCAAGTCAATGGTCAGTGCCTATGCCAAGTCAGTTTTCTCTGATTTGTGGATTCGCCTCGAACCACCAGCTCCGAAAGAAAGCTGGGCACATGGCCATGTGGAGCGCTATGTCCAAGAGTCCAAGGCGGTTGCTAGTAAGGTTCAACTTTCCTTTCCGGTGTTAGCTCCTGAGACTGTCATTGCCCTCACGACCCACTCATTGAATGCCACAGAGCACGTTCACGGTTTTACTCCTCACCAATGGGTCTATGGCAAGCAGTTCAGCTTCACTGAAAAAGATGAAAGAAGTATGGCTCAGGTGACACCTACAGTTCCTGGAAGTGAGTTTGCGCAACTTCTCCTGAACAGAAAGTCTGCCGAGGACATTGCGAGAAAGGTGAGATCCCAACAGGTCCTCACAAAGCTTCGCAACGAAAGTGCGGCAACCTCTCCAAGTCTTTCAGCCCACGGAATTGCTGAAGATATGGCGAAAGTACACCACAGATGGAGGTCCTCGTGGTGGTCTTCGGAAGACCGGCAGGTCTCAATTGGCTAGGACGGCCACTCGTTTGCGGTTGCCAGCACTGGCCACCACAGAAAGCATGGCCCTGCTGCATTTGCACGGGTGTGGTTTAAGCCATGCTTGCTACTCGTGACTTTTGGTTTACGCATCCCATCCGATATGATAGGGACTGGCATGACACGCTTTCGGCTTACCGACGGTGTGTCTCTCCCTGGCCACACATTCCTGAGCCTACTGAGCAAGATTATATTGAGCACCTTCTGCTCACCAAGGACTCGGCACCAGGACCTGACGGGCTACCATCTGAGCATCTTCTAAAGACTCTTCTGGCGTGGGTTTCCACGTCAAAAACCCACCTGCATCGCATCAAGCGTCCACTTTGAAGAGCTGCTCAGCTTTGTCAGCACATGCTCGAACTGCCGCATTGGAGAACGAAGTAGTTGACTTTTTCAAATTGGTTCTGTCAAAGAGACCTCGATGTTCAGGCCGGAGGCATTCACAACGAACTCCACCATCTCGGAGTTTTTTGGAACAAAGCGCTTTGCGCTCAAGGCCGACCGCTGCCAACACCAAAATTTCCAGCTGATTCTTTCTCTTCACCTTCAGAAGCAAAAGGAGGTCATTGGCTTCAGATGGTCAGGGCTGGCTGACTGAGGAGAGGCCAACTGGAGGTGCGAGAGAGGCTCGTTACGTAGGATCCAGCGTGTCTGGGCCAGTTCATGAGGAAGTTGGGGTGGTTGACTCAGGCACCACTTTTCTGCTCTGTGCAACGTCTCACTGAGTGCACTGAAGAACGGTGCACGGTGTGGCGTTTTTGGTCGCCAGGAACTTGGTGACACTCATGGAACATCACTCGACCATTCAGCCATTTGAGCCCACCCTTCTCGGATGGTTGCGTTTCGATGCACAGCGTGCATCTTCACACATAGACATGAACTTCAAACATCTTTGGCACAACGATGCCTTAGGATTTTCCAAGAACAAACTGAAGCGCCGATGCCTCAAACTCCTTTGGACCGCGACTTGAGGATGAAAACGACCCAAGGTCGCACATGGCAACGACGAATGGTTTCAAGTCTCGCACTGGTGGGTTCCGGATGACGCCTCAAAGCAACTCAGCCAGGCCTTAACGTCACTAATGTCACTTTTGATGTTTTTTGGAAGAGCCTGCAGCACCTGTCAGATCTGGCCATTTTTTGGTTCACCAGACAGGAGCAGTGGTGCTCTGGGCTCAATGCTTGCTTGCACCAGAGGCAGCAGCGCGACAACTGTCCCGCCGCTGCTGCTTGGAAGACAGCAACAGCTTTTGCAGCCCCACCACAATCAGCCCTCATCCGCGCGGTCGGGTGTGAAAACACAGTAGCGCAAGCTTCCTCTTCGATCCCGCTCCTTGAGCCAAAGTCACAGTCGGTGTAGCCTGTCTCAAACGTTCTCAAAGCTTCTCTTAAGCTTCTCCACTCTCCTGAAAAGAGTACAAGACTACCCATAGTCATCTCAATGCTACACAAAACTACAAGGGACTATCTCCAACAGTCTCCTAAGACCTCGTGCTCTACCGAAAGGTTCTCTAAGCTATTCCTAGCCACAAGTTGCCACTTCAAACATCCTCCTGCCAAGGTGGTCAAAGGTCAAACACAAAAAGGGCACAGATCACCACTCAGCCCCAACCCCAAGCACTCTAAAAACGAAAATTCCCTAAAGAAGCAAGCACTAGGTGAGCCATACACTGTACACGTGCGCTGTACGCTATGTTTCACACCCCTTCTTGGGTCGCATAGCGCTACCTTCTTTCTTCTTCTGTCTTCTTCTCTTCTTCTATTCGTTTTTTTGAGCAACTAAGGATCAGACATCAACTAAGATCCAAACTTTTGCCCTCAAAGGTGATCTCAATGGTATCAATCCAGAGGTAAACTCGAGTCCAACCCAAGCAGAACTTCAGATCCAACAAAGAGCCAACTTCAACCCTCAACCAACACGCATTCAAGCAAGGAAGAAACGTGTAAAAAAAAGGACCCCTCAGAGGCCAGCCATGAGATCTCAGGGTCAGATCCCTTCTGCATGGCCTTCTGGCCTCATCATCGGGATCCTCAAAAGCAAAAGCATTCAAGGACAACTTACCTGTCAGCTCAGGATTTCAAAAGGGTTATCTAGAGTTACAAAGCCGTGCAAACCTCAACCTCAAGACCTGACAAGTACACAAAGTTGCAATCAACTGCAAAAGATGAAATCTCCAAGAAGCTATCTAGACACTCTTCACCTGCAAGAGTGGTTAGCACAAGCTGTACAGTAGCTCTTTCTTCAGATTCTGCTGGAGCGCTGACTTGGGAGAGACTTTCAGTAGCCATGGGTGTTGGAAAGAGGCCGATCGCACTGTAGGGCACTTTCTGTTTGAGCCAAGGCACCGTGCAGCTGCTTCATGCAGGAGAGCTTGAGGCAATGGTCGTCAGCATCTGGTACACCAGACTGTGGTCAACTAATCCCGAGCTTCTTGGACAAACTTTGACCAAACTTTGAAAAAGTTTGTTGTTCAGGCTTGGTGGGGTGTCTAACAGCTTGAGGATGTAAAAACAAAGGGGGCAAGCCATAGCGACAGTGACTGAGGTCACCACCCTGTGACTCCCAGCGTCCTAGCCACAGGTTGCCACTTCAAACATCCTCCTGCTAAGGTGGTCAAAGGTCAAACACAAAAAGGGCACAGACCTCCACTCAGCTCCAACCCCAAGCACTCTAAAATCGAAAATTCCCTAAAGAAGCAAGCACTAGGTGAGCCATACGCTGTACACGTGCGCTGTACGCTACTTTTCACAATGTTTCACTTTGCATGTACAGACTTCGAATCTCCTCCTCTCTCGGCTCTGCTTTTTGTTTTGTGTCTGTTTGGGTTGTGGCTCTGCAACCTAACCTGGCAAGGGCGACCCTGCCCCTTGTCTGCTCTCGAAGGCCACTGGCGAATGGCCTTCAAGGACAACAAGTCGAAGTCCTGATACAGTGTGTTGCATACTTCGAATTCAGGCCCAGCTAGTTAGTTCAACATTTCTCTCATGTTTCACACGTCTCACCTTAGTACAGTCGAAACTCTGCCCACATTGGTTGTTGGGGTCCTCTGGCGCTGGTGTTTTTTGGGGTTGTTTTTGGGGTTTGGGTTTTGTTTATGTGTTTGGTTCTCTGGTTTTCGGTTTGCTCCCCTTACGAATATGCAGAGTTTCCATCCTTCCCATGATGACCTGGGCACACTGCCCACATGGCGTCCGTACTCCTGCCAAAAAAAAAAAGGTTGTGGCTCCTTTGGGCGCTTTTCTGCTTCTCTGAGAGA